TTCTAGGCTGTCTTTCTTCTCTCTCAATTCTCTCTCTTTCTCAAGTCTTCCTGGATTCATAGGCACTAATGAAAGATTCTAAATTTTGCCTGTTATTCCTAAAAATTAAAAAAAAAAACTTTACTTCCAGCGTTCATCCCAAAAATGGTATTATCCATACTTGAAGAATAACTTAAATATCAGGGGAAATGAAACGGGTATTAAAGAAAATGGAGGGTTCAATTCCTGCCGCTCAAAATGGTAAATAAACCAGGGGGCTCGATCCCTGCTTCAATTAAACAATATGTATTAACGAAAACGAAGGGTTGCTGTGCCGGGCTCGAGCAAACCAGTAAGTAGAAATGGGGTGGTCCCTTGGGGACCATCCAATCTTCTCACCACAAATCAAGAGTGTCCTTTGACAGTTCCCTTGATAAAAATAAAGAGCTCAATGAAACAACTTGTCACTGGAAAAATCTCGGTCCCTAGAGTCTAATCCTCCAAGTGTTTCAAGCTCACAGGAATAGTGCAGAATTAACTTTTAGATCCTGCCTGACTTGACTACAATAAATTGAGACTATACAATCACCGACTCTTTCAAATTACTGTTCTGTAGTCCTTACCATAGAGAATGATACTCATGGCTGGTGGTAAACTGTCTGTGGTATGGCGGCGTTGAAGTTCCAATGGTAGATTTCGAGATGGAGTTGAATCTAGATTCAGTAGGTTTGCATCTGGCAAGGTCGCCACTTGTGAAGGCTTACTCAGCCCTTGTAACAACTTCAGTCAGTATTATCAGGCTGGCTCTCCTCAGGATAAATTAGTGAATAAAAAAGAAATTAATTAATACAGACAAACATATACACTTTATTTATATAGAAAATATAAAATGTAAACACTTAATTATGAAGTATTATCCTACATTAAGAAATGAAAAATGAAAAATAAAATGATAACTTGAATTCAACGCTAATTTAAATGTATATAAAACGTGGGTGTCCTTGTGGTTGGTGACACTGTGTTGAAATCGTAGCGTTGCTGATGATGGGGGGCAGGGGACGCAGGTGGTGGTGCCACCACTGGCTAGATCTTCACAGATTATTGCGTGAGTTATAATATCCGATGACAGGAAAGCAGTTCTTTACCGCTGCAAGATGTGGGGTTATGTCCTGCAATTTCATACTAGGTGCACAGGTACTTCAATACAAAAATGGGAGAAGGTCTCTGGACGTTAGTCCTCTCCTGTTGCTTCGTTGATTGCCAGGTGACCTTCCTTCAGACATCAAGCTGGGAAAGATAGACAGGTTACCCACGCTTAAATAATCACTCTCCTTGGTAGTGTACAATATTCAAAAGACGTGGTGATTATTAAACAGTCAACCTAGAGGAAGACTGAAAGGGACTAAGTTTATTTTGGTCAAAAGTTTAGCTTTTAACCATAAATCACTAGATACAAGGCAGGCATTGTACTTACAGTAGTGTTGGGAGCTGCGAGTCGAGTGATGTAGTTTGACCAGAGCCCCATACGTCACCCTTTCGAGGGGGGGGGGAAGAGGAGGGGAAGGGATAGCGGGTGCTTGACTGACCCTACGTTAACTAGCAGCCGGCAATTAAACTCTTTGTTTGGACACTTTAACCCTTTGAGGGTTTTCGTCGTACTAGTACGTCTTACGCGTAGGGGTTTTTGACGTACTAGTACGCATAAATTCTAGCGGCCTCAAATCTCGCGCGAAAAGGCTGATAGGCCTAGGTGTGAGAGAATGGGTCTGCGTGGTCAGTGTGCGCGGTAGAAAAAAAATCTGGGACCCAGTGGTGCATTGTGGGAATGCCCTCTTAGTAAACAATGTCCACCATGCCTCGCGGTAAGAAGCTCCTCCACTCCTCGGCGAATTGGGAAACTTTTGTTCCCCAGTGACAGTTCTAATAGTGATGGAAGTGCCAGTGAAGATGAGTTTCGTGGTTTTAGTGAGGTTTTGACCGAAACTAATGACCATAATATCGGTAATAGTGAAGAAAACCCAGACGACCCTCAGCCTTCCACCTCTGGTGCTGGGCCCTCGTGTTCACGTTCAGTTGTTCCAGAACCCAAGAGGAAACTTCTATTTTCCCCAAATCCCAGACTCAGATGAGAGCATGGGTGATGATAGTGATAGTGAATATGAACTACAAGCTCTTCAAACTAGTTCCAGTAGTGATAGTGAAGTGCAATATTCCCAGTGAAGCGTCAGTATATACGACGATATATGCGCTCTGGAAGGTGTGCATATGCTATTCCAAGGGGAAGGAGTGTATCTCGGAGTACATCCCGTGGCTGTACAACAGGAACAAGACAGTGAAAATGACGAAGATACTGTTGCAATTGGGATGGAAAATGTGTGTGGTGGTAGTGGTGCCGGCGGTGAGGCACCAGCAGTGGGCCATGCTGCCACCCACGCTGCCACCCACGCCGCTGCCTCAGCTGATCTAGAACAAAGGCCAACCATCCCCCACTCCCCCACCACACCAGCCTCCACAACCACAACCTCCACAAACCACAACCTCCACAACCACAACCACCTGTCATTGTCCAGTACCCACCAGCAGACCGCACCTGGGATTGGCAGGAAGCTGTCAATTTTGTTCCAAATCCCCACCAGTTTGATGGCAGCCAAAGTGGAATACGCCATCTTGTACACTTGGGAACAATGCCACTGAACTGGAATGTTTCGAGTTATTCTTTGACGAACCATGATGAAAAGTATTGTCATGGAAAGCAACACATACTACGAGTACACCATGGCAAACACAATACTTTCACCAAAATCACGTCTACACCAATGGAAGGAGGGCAACTGTGGCTGAGCTGTATCTTTCTTTGCCACAATAATGCTTATGCCACATGTGTATAAGCACAAAGTGAAATCATACTGGTCAACAGACCCCCTGATTGCAACACCAGGTTTCAGTGATATAATGCCAGTGAATCGATTTGTGCTAATGTTACGTATGCTTCACTTCTCAGATAAAACCAGCCTGACAGAACTGACAGGTTTATAAGATTAGGAATGTGTTTGTGTATCTGAAACAGAAATTCAGTACTCATTTTTATCCCTTCAGGAAGCTTGTAATTGACGAGTCTTTGATTCTGTTCAAAGGAAGACTCTCTTTCAAGCAGTACATACCAAGCAAGAGGAAACGCTTTGGTATAAAGTTGTTTGTGCTTTGTGATTGTTACAGTGGTCTGGTATTGGATATTATTGTGTACACTGGAAGTTATACATTGCAAAATACCAGGAAGTTATTGGGCATCTCAGGTGATGTGGTTCGAACAATGATAGAACCTTACCTTGGTAAGGGGCATATATTATATACAGATAACTGGTACACAAGCCCTCACTCAGTGATTTTTTGCGAGTGAACATGACAGATGTGTGTGGCACAGTGCGTGCAAATCGAAAACATATGCCCAGGTTTGATGCTGGCACTCGCAGAGGTGAGGTGCAGGCGTTTGCTGCCAATGACATCATGGCATTTCGGTGGCATGACAAACGAGATGTCACACTGTTGTCATCAATTCACCCTAATGAAATGGCAGCAGTGGCAGGCAGCATAGAGAGAGAAATGAACCCATTCTAAAACCTGCAGCTGTGATGATTACACCTTCAACATGCGTTCAGTGGACAAATGTGACATGCAGATTGGGTTTGCTGATTGTGTTCGCAAGAGTTATAAGTGTACATCAAACTGTTTTTCCATCTTCTGGACATTTCCATGCTCAATGCTTATAATATGTATAAGATGAGCACCAGAAACAAACCACAGTACGGCGAATTCTGTTTGTCTGTCATCAGACAAATAGTATTCAAGTACCAAGGAAATGCACCTGCAATTGACCGCCACCAATTATCAACAACTACCTGCTCGTCTGAAGCATGGTGATCACTTCCTGGTAAAACTGCCTGCTACCTGCTTTGAAGAAAAAGGCTCAGAAGAGGTGTTACGTCTGTTCACATACAAAAAAACGCCCACGACAACGCAGAGACACTCGTTTTTATGTGTGAGGAGTGCAAACTCCACTGTGCATGACACCTGTTTCAAAGACTTCCACAGGCTGCAGAACTTCTAGAAACATGTCCTGTGACTGTATATGTGTATATAAAATATAGAAAAATAGTAATAAACAACATTTCATATTGTTTGTTTGTGTAAATATTTTCTGTAAACAAAATAATGACAACAGTGTTTACGCCCTTATTGTGTAGTATTGAAAAAGAAATAACTTACAAAATACTGATCATGTTGGCCTCAGAAGCCATAAAAGTTACTCAGAAAAAGAAAAATTGAAAAAAAATTGAAAATAGTACATAAAAAAGTAAATAGAAAAATACCGGGTGACGGCAGTCGGCGCTGTTACCAGATGATGTTCTATTTTGGCAAATTTCACACCTCCATATCTCGGTAAGTATTGACGTTAAAATTTTTTTGTTTAGCCTATAATGTTTAGAAAAAAATACTCTATTTTTTCATAAGAAAAAATAATTTTTTTTTTTTTTGAAATTTGGCCGACCCTGAGAACGAGTTTCGGAGAGGGCCTGTCGACCCTCAAAGGGTTAAGGGTGGGGGGGGAGAAAAGGCGGGAAAAACGGGAGCATGACTTACCCTACCTTAACTAGTAGCCGGCAATGACACTATCACTTTCGAGGAGGGGGAAGAAAGGCGGGAGCGTGACTTACCCTACCTTAACTATTAGCCGATAATGAAACTATTGTTACTATATTGCTACTCCTATCTATTGAACTTTTCCCTCACAAGGCTTGATCCCCAGTCTTCTAATTTCTGCCTAATTTCTGTTGAGGCTGATAAATTAAAAAAACACAAAAAGAGAGTTAGTTATGAAGACTAAGAGTACATACAGTTTTGAGGATGATGATAGGTGGGAGTTGATATTGTTGTGCATTTTACAGATATCTTACCACTTCTTTCACTTTTATTATTTGTGAATATAATGTATATCTAACAAATATTTAATTTAAATCTTACAGGTTATTGCAGTTCCATCAAGATCTGGAGACATCAGCTTTATATCTGACATTGAAGGCACCCCAAGCAAAGCACGTGCTCGCAGACACAAAGCCAAAGTCTTACCATCGAAGATAACTACTTCAACCCCAAAAGGCAAATAAAAGGAAATGAAGATGCTGGTAGCAGAGAATCTTTATTTCCATTTGTTGGCCTTTGCCATTGCCTACCTTGGCAAAAGAAAAGTGACATGGTTATGGTGGCACAAAACCATAATTAAATGATGTGGTATTACTCTTTTGGATATTATTACTTTATTCAGGAGAGGGGAAGGGCTAAATCCTTAGGGTCCACCCTACCAATCAGCCATTTCCCACCAAGATAGAGTGACAAATATATAGGCAACATATATTGATATATATCTTGCACTAATAAATATTTGCATTCAGTGATTCATTAATGTTTTAGTAATGTGAAGAGGAAAACAAAATAGTGTAGCTTTAAATATTTTTTATAAATGTCAATCCATTTGTCAGTAATAATATAATGACAAATCAGGGAACAGGCGGGGTGTGAATCCATGGCATGGATTCAAATCCCACCTGGTCCCTAATTTGTCTGCAATCATATTGTTTCAATTTCTTGGGTCATGACATAGTGCACTTTTTTATGAAATTCACTCAGATTTCATAGTGAAAATATAAACTTGGATTATTACAGTAGTTCTCTGCAGTTAAAGGTATGCATTGTATCAGTGCTCTTTTTCTATAAATTATTGTTCATCTATTTGGAAACTGACTGGTTTGATCATATATGGAGGAACTGTAATGATTGTTCCATCTTGCAGTACAAAATGTTGATATGTATTATTACTATAATCAAAGAGAAGCACTAACCCAGTAGGGGTCATGCAGTGTTTAGGACATGAGAAGTATTTGGTGTTGAAGGGTGTTGGTACTTTTACACTTCTGAGGTTCCAAAATTTTTGCTTTTATATTTTGTTTGTTTTCCATTATAACTTTTTCCATCCAGTATACTTTTATTGTTTCTTGTTAGTGTTATATTTATGGGGAAATGGTAAACTTGTAAGGGTCACACACAGCCTTGGAAGGCAATCAGGTTTGTTTGAAGGGGTAGTTAGGCATAATTCTTCCATGAACTAGGAGCCCCTCACTGGCATCATGATACCTCCCTTGAATGAATTTTTTTTTTTACCAATTAGGTGTTTCTCACCAAGGTAGGTGAATGTAATTGAGGACACATTCACCTTCACTCATTCAGTAGCTGTCTTGCCTAAAATGCACATATGTCACATTACTGATGCCCATACAACACTTAGAAAGAGAAACCACCAGCACTGAAGTAGGTAACTTCAAAACGTGTTGAAGGGGTGTGAAGGCATTATAGAAAATTACAAGAAGATAATCACACATGTATGCCATTTAATTTACTCCCGTGAAGATCAGGTCACCATTGGAAGCCTTATCAGGAGATGACTCTGCCAATATACTGTAGCTTTTTAGACACACTGAACATGCCAGGGTAGCTCCATTGTGAAGAAACACCAAATAACAACCAACCTGGGTTGAGCACATTTTGTGAATATAAAAATATTTCATTGGGGTAGAGCACAATTAGATCTATGTATATTATGATGTGCAAGATTTCAGGTACGTCTTGCTACTTCTACTTACACTTAGGTCACATTACACATACATGTACAAGCATATATATACACACCCCTCTGGGTTTTCTATTTTCTTTCTAGTTCTTGTTCTTGTTTATTTCCTCTTATCTCCATGGGAAAGGGGGAACAGAATTCTTCCTCCGTAAGCCATGCATGTTGTAAGAGGTGACTAAAATGCCGGGAGCAAGGGCTAGTAACCCCTTCTCCTGTATAAATTACTAAATTTAAAAAGAGAACTTTTGTTTTCTTTTTTGGGCCACCCCGCCTCGGTGGGATACGGCCGGTTTGTTGAAAGAAGAAAGAATATTATGATGTACAGTATCTTGAAAATGAATGAGGATGTTTCATATTGCTCTCTGATATTAATGTAAAGGTAAAAGCTACTGCACTCATTGCTCTTTACTGCAGACTTTTACCTGGTGACTTTTTTTTTTTTGAGCTGAATACAGGTTGACCATCGCTAATCTGGCATCAGTGGGACCTGTAGGGTGCTGGATTAGTGACTTTGCCAGATCACAGGGTGATTAAGCTAGAATACACTTAATCCAACAGCTAACCACCTCATCTTACCTTTAAGATACCCTGTAAATCAGTACAAGTTGGTTAATAAAGTTAACAAACTTGACGTACACAAGAAACCTCATCACTGCTGCTTCCAAAGTGAAGAGCTGAAATTCACAACTAAGCACATTTACAAGTCTTGAAGGGCTGTCAGGATTGCCATCTTCTTGAGGTGAAGGCTGTCAGGATTGCCATCTTCTTGGGATGAAGGGCTGTCAGGATTTGCATCCTCTTCATCTTGGAAGGTGACTGAGATATGAGGAACTGATGATGACAGTGGCAGCATATCTAGTTGAACAGATGTTGAAGGCACTTGATTTTCAAGTGGTGACTCCTCTGTTGCACACTTTTTAGCTATTTTTTTGAACATATCTTGCAAGCTGAGCAGTTTCATATATTTTGGCCTTTCTTTGATTAGTTTATCCTGCAGCATGTAAACGTTCATTTTTTTGTTTCTTGTTGCCGCAGGTTGGTGCAGTGACCCATAAAATTTGAAATTATGCTAGCTGAAATTAGTACCAGTTTAGTGATGGAGCCAGATTAATGATTGCTGGATCAGTGATGGCTGACCTCTATATGATTTTGGAATGGGAAAAGTAGTAGTCCCTATTGGGTATTGAGACAAGAAGCCAACTGTACAGGGTTTAGCAGGATGTGGGTGTCCAGCCCTCATTACACAGAAATTACTACTGTGAGATTGGTTTCTTTAGCTTAAAGATAGATCACACTCAGTTCACCCATAGACACTTGCTTGAGGGTAATTCTTTACCTTTCTGTGCATCTTGTTGTTGCTGACCATGAACTATATTTTAATATCACTTCCTTGGCTCCAGTCTTACCATTTTAGTCATGGACTTTATAATAACCTGAGTGTCCATAGAGGTATCGGTGACATTTTAAGATAAGATTTTCTTCAGATTTTTAACCCCGGAGGGTTAGCCACCCAGGATAACCCAAGAAAGTCAGTGCGTCATCGAGAACCGTCTAACTTATTTCCGTTGGGGTCCTTAATCTTGTCCCCCAAGATGCGATCCACACCAGTCGACTAACACCCAAGTACCTACTTGCTGCTAGGTGAACAGGACAACAGGTACAGTGGACCCCCGGTTAACGATATTTTTTCACTCCAGAAGTATGTTCAGGTGCCAGTACTGACCGAATTTGTACCCATAAGAAATATTGTGAAGTAGATTAGTCCATTTGAGACCCCCAAACATACACGTACAAACGCACTTACATAAATACACTTACATAATTGGTCGCATTCGGAGGTAATCGTTATGCGGGGGTCCACTGTATAAGGAAACGCGTCGAAATGCTTCCACCCACTGGGAATAGAACCCGGGCCCTCCATGTGTGAAGCGGGAGCTTTAGCCACCAGGCCACTGGGCCACCATAGATGAAACTTTTAGTATGATTGACTTGATAACTTTTATTAATAACTGAGATGCTTTGAATTTATTATGATTTTATTTATTTATTTTTTATTTTTAGGACTCTGGTGTGTATTTTACATTTTGGAGCTTGAATGTGTGTATATTGCAAATGGATGTAAGTGCTGATGTATGTTTTTTTTTTTTTTTTAACAAGTCAGCCGTCTCCCACCGAGGCAGGGTGACCCAAAAAAGAAAGAAAATCCTCAAAAAGAAAATACTTTCATTATCATTCAACACTTTCACCTCACTCACACATAATCACTGTTGTTGCAGAGGTGCTCAGAACACAACAGCTTAGAAGCATATACCTATAAAGATACACAACATATCCCTCCAAACTGCTGATATCCTGAACCCCTCCTTTAGAGTGCAGGCATTGTACTTCCCATTTCCAGGACTCAAGTCCGGCTATATAAAAATAACCGGTTTCCCTGAATCCCTTCACTAAATATTACCCTGCTCACACTCCAACAGATCGTCAGGTCCCAAATACCATTTGTCTCCATTCACTCCTATCTAACATGCTCACGCACGCTTGCTGGAAGTCCAAGCCCCTCGCCCACAAAACCTCCTTTACCCCCTCCCTCCAACCTTTTCGAGGACGACCTCTACCCCGCCTTCCTTTCCCTACAGATTTATATGCTCTCCATGTCATTCTACTTTGATCCATTCTCTCTAAATGACCAAACCACCTCAACAACCCCTCTTCAGCCCTCTGACTAATACTTTTATTAACTCCACACCTTCTCCTAATTTCCACACTCCGAATTTTCTGCATAATATTTACACCACACACACCCTTAGACAGGACATCTCCACTGCCTCCAACCGCCTCCTCGTTGCTGCATTCACAACCCAAGCTTCACACCCATATAAGAGTGTTGGTACTACTATACTTTCATACATTCCCTTCTTTGTCTCCAAAAATAAAAATTTTTGTCTCCACATATACCTCAACGCACCACTCACCTTTTTTCCCTCATCATTTCTATGATTAACCTCATCCTTCATAAATCCATCCACCGACACGTCAACTCCCAAGTATCTGAAAGCATTCACTTCTTCCATACTCCTCCTCCCCAATTTGATATCCAATTTTTCTTTATCTAAATCATTTGATACCCTCATCACCTTACTCTTTTCTATGTTCACTTTCAACTTTTAATGTGCCTATGTTGTGAATGGATGTAAGAAGCTTAGTATATTGTGTTGAATGACCTTTCTGTCCCAGTACTCTCTCAGCTCCACAGCTTTCGCTGGTATTAATACTGAATATTGCTTGTCTAGTAATTTTTTGGGATCAATGCAAGAGATATAGAAAAAAAAAAGAAATATGTGGGCACATCATCAGATGGCCTCCTTAGAACCGTGGCTTATTTTATAATGAACTGAATTTTTATAAAAAATCAGATTACCATGTAACTTGGTAGATGAATGTTATTTTACTATAGTTCCGTGTAACATGGTAGATGACTATATCTATTATTGTACCATGTAACTTGGTAGATGAATACACTTATTGTTTTACCATGTAACTTGGTAGATGAATACACTTATTGTTTTACCATGTAACTTGGTAGATGAATACACCTGTCATACAGTACCATGTGATTTGGTACAGTTGATGAATGTGCCTTTTATAGTAACATGTAACTTGATAAATAAATGTGCCTTTTCAGTGTGAGTTATGATGCCATAGGATTTATGTATGTGGCAAGCTCTAGTCAATATAGTCTTCCAAAAAGACTACAGTGTCTCCAAATATTCACGGCAGTGCAAAAGCTGATAGTGTTCCCCACCTCATTTAATAATAATAACAGTAATAATAATTTGGGATTGTATATTTCTCGAGCACCTGTTCTTTCAAGAAATTCACTAGCACTCACACACCAGCCCATAAATTCAGCAACAACAATAAAAAAGAATATGAAGGTATATATTCAGGAGTGACAGTACGATCGTCAGCAGCACGAGCTCTAGAAAAGAAATGAGATTTCAGCTGAGACTTAAAATTATTTACAGATTCGGTATAATGTATCTATACCTGCATTCAGGTTCTTAGTGTGTTATGCAAGATTATTAAATGCCACGATTTGAAAATTGGCAAATTTTTACATCATTAATTAACCCTTTGACTGTCGCAAGCCCCTTTCTGAAACTCATTTTATGTTGCAAAATTTTTGGAAAAACAAATTTATTTTTTCTTATGAAATGATAGAGAATATTTTCCCGATGGTAATGACACCAAAAGTACAAAATTTGGTCGAAAACTCATGGAATTACGCTCCCGTGAAGTTAGCGGTCTCGGCAACATACATGCATCAGCGATTTCGCCGACTTTGAGCCCTGTTTTTGGCCAACTCCATTTTTCAAGTTGACCAAATTCATAGCTATTTCTTTAGAACTCCATTTTTTCTATCAATTGAGTACAAGAAACCGCCCATTTACCAATTTGAACTACCCAATAAAGTGGTCAGAAATTGATAATTTGGCCAATTTCACGCAAATTAAAAAAGATGTCAATTTCAAAATAGGGTCCAGAATAAACAATGTAGACATTCTTGGCACTAAAATAACATGTCCTCTGTTCATTAGCCACATCTCTAGGCCTCTCTATTACAATTGCTTTCTATTTTGATTTTTTATTCATACAAAAAGATACAAAATTTACTGATATGCAGACTATTGCATTATTGTAAAAATGGTATAAATAATATCAGTGCACTAGTGAAAGAATATTAGACTCCCCAGTTGATGTGTATTGGACATGTGGTGTAATTTGCTTTCTAATGAACATTGGTAAAAATCGAACATTTCCGCTACTTTGAGCTCAATTTCAAGGTCGTTTTCATCGTGAAACCAATCAAAATCATCTCTGTTTCTGCAATATGTTTTCCATTT